ATTCATGAATTATTCACACAAAAACAAATGCAAAGGTTAATGATTTAATTGGCGAGAAATCCATCGTCGCAAACAATTCAAATAATATACAAAAACCTCCGAATCCGTTATGAATGAAAAGATCCTTGTTTCTATAAATTTCTGCCGCATTAGTTCTTATTTTACTACAAGATTTCGTCTGTTCCTACAGACATCTTCAGGTATGGAATAGATGTTGTTCTTGTTTTTTCTGTCAGTAATAAGAGGACAACGAAAATATATGTATTGTTGTATCCGAAAATGCTATTGGAAATGAGTTAATGTTTTTGGAGCGTGCAGTAGCAACGCTGAGTTTGATTTTAAATGTTTTACAGTTGTGCGTTCATGTACAAATATGGGGATAAACGAATTTTTTACTGGTAAATTTTCTGTCAAAGTGGCATGAACTATATTGTTCAATAATTACAGTAATGTCGCACTTATTATCCAAAAGTCGCACTTGGATCAGTTATTTTAATTTCGATAAACGTGCAATCAATTAACCTTTGCGTTTGTTTTTGTGTGAATAATTCATGAATTTGTAAATTGATTGCACGTTTATCGAAATATATATATATATATATATATATATATATATATATATATATATAAAAGTCTGATGATCCAGAACCCTGTTAAAGGGGTTATGGTGAAATAACAATACATGGAATCTTAACGTGGTCTGTTTTTTATTCAAACATATCTGCTCTGAATTTTACATTGAGCTCTCTGGATATCATCCTCTCGGGTCTACCCATACGGATTACCTAAGTTTGCACAAAACTATATATATATATATATATATATATATATATATATATATATATATCACTTGTTGATTATTAGTGATAATTCCAAGGAGGATATAAATGCAAAGAGAGGGCAATTCGAGGTGATGTATTACAAGCAAGCTTGTCTCACTAGATCTATTACTACTGAATAGTGAGTTCTATCCTCACTGGGTGCCCCACACTTTCGGCCTGGTGCCACATCTGAGCTACGCTTGGAAAATCAATATAAATCCAAGGAGAGCTCAATGCAAAATCAGAGCAATATAATAGTACAGATTCATTAAAAATCATTTCCGTCAGGTGATAATTCATTTCCTTCCCTCTCTCACATTCTTTCCCCTCCCCTTATCTATCGCCCTTCTCCCTAAAATCCTTACATCGAAATCTGACTTTCTCCCCTAATTTTTCTCTTTTCCCTTTTGATTTTAAAACTTTTTTTCTTTTTCTCTTTTCTCTCAAATCCATTTTTCTTTTCCTTGTGTCTGAATAAATTGAAGATATTTTTGTAAAATTTGGTCTGAAGAGATGAAATAAATGCATATTTAAACATTCTGCATTCATATATATATATATATATATATATATATATATATATATATATATATATATATGAGAAAGCGGAGATTTAATTATCCATTTCGATTATATATATATATATATATATATATATATATATATATATATATATTGTTTTAAAGTAAATTGTTTTTGTCTGTATGTAAAAATTATAATATATATATATATATATATATATATATATATATATATATATATATATATATATATATATATTATATATATATATTATCATATATATTTTTTTTGTCTGTATAAAATTATAATATATATATATATATATATATATATATATATTATATATTTTTACATACAGACAAAAACAATTTACTCGTTTCAAAGATGCAACCTTGTTTCGGTGCATTTAGTTGCACCTCGACTGGTAAGAACCAAATCACTCTAAATGTTATTTTTACTGGATACCCATATTAGAGTTGACGCTTCGTTTATTTATTAAACAGTATATTTATTTATTACCGTCTGCCTGCCTGGATATACGAAAAATCTTATTAAAATCGCATCTTTAATCCAAATAAACGATTTAAGTCTGGCTACCACTGGGCAGATGGGAACCCTCGTTAAATCTGACGTACCTTAACCGATTTGGCCACGGAAAAGCTTTACCGATCAGGCAAGGTCTGAAG